AAGGGATCTACAAAGGGAGACTGTAGGGCTTAGGGTTTGGGACTTAAGGGCTTTGTTTGGGGGTTTAGGGTTTAGGGTTTAGGGTTTAGGGTTTAGGGTTTAGGTTTATTATGAGGCTTTCTATAAGGGGTTTAGGGCTTAGGTTTCCTATGAGGGTTTCTATAAGGGGTTGTAGGGCTTAGGTTTCCTATGAGGGTTTCTATAACTAGGTGGCAATTTGGGAAACTGTAAAGTCTCCCTTATGGTTTCTAAAGAGGTACCTATTCATAAATACTTTTCAGGGCCCCCCAAACTCCAACCAACCCAAAACCCAAAACCCAAAACCCAAAACCCAAAACCCAAAACCCAAAACCCAAAACCCTAAACCCTAAACCCTAAACCCTAAACCCTAAACTCTAAACCGTCTCGTGGTTTTCTTCTTTAGGGCTTCGGGTCTCGAGCCGGGGCTTTGGAGAGTGGGGTTCAGGTTTTAAGGGTTTGAGAGCTTCAGGCAGTGGGTTTTAGGGTTTGGTTCTAGGTTTTAGGAGTTTTCAGGGTTTAGAGTGTAGGGTTTAGGTTTAGGGTTTAGGTTTATTAGGTTTTAGGAGTTTAGGGTTTAGGGTTCAGGTTTTAGGAGTTTAGGGTTTACGGTTTAGGGTTTAGGGTTTTCAGGATTTGGGAACTGCGTGCCCATGCTGCGCGTGTTGCAACATCCCCACAATGGTGGACTCACAGGACTCCAACCGGCCCATGGCACCCAAATGGTTTCGTTGCCTGACGAATATAGAAGCCTAAATAATTACTAATAGGATTTTTTTTGGGGGGTTCCTTATTATAGTTATAGTGTAATATACCCCAAAACTCTGTTCTAATTATTAAGGCCCAATTATTAAGGCCCCTACATTAGCTTGCTTGTCGCCCACACCTTCATTCCCCAAGCAAAGATGTAAAGGCTCTGACCGCTTTTCGAAGGGTTGTTGTTTTTGGACTTGGTGCTTGTAGTTAAGAACTTAGTTCTCCAATACCCGACCTTTAAACTTTTGGGGTTCTTATAAGTTAGTAACATTCTGAAAGGTTTAGCCTTTTATTTCCCTGGCCTATTGGGGAAGTAAGAGAAAGGTGTTGGTTTGTGAAGACCCCGCGTTCACGCATGTCGGAACTGATGGACATTGGAATTGGTGATTTTGCAGCGGTTTGAGAGTCTGAGTTGCCGCTGGGGAGTTTTATCCGTAAGATAGCAGACCCTAAGAACATGGAACCCTGAATGATCGGATCCTTCAGGACAGCAAAATACGGTGCCCTAGTTTTCTGAGATCCCAGCTTAGTTTTCCCAATGCTCAAGGGCTCTTGCGATATCATTCTCTCCTGAAAGTTGGACGGTTCATGCTCTTGGGTATGAGTTCCGTAATTGGGGGGTGGGGGAAAATGTAGGGGCCTTAATACTTACCCATACTATTTTGGCGGTTCCTTATTATAGTTATAGCGTAATATACCCGAAAACTCTATTCTAATTATTAAGCCCTCTGTATTACGGGAGTTGGAAGGTCTCGCCGACCGCAGCTTAACCAAGCCTGCCGCAAGACCTTGCGGCTGCCAGCAGGGCGAGGCCAGGGGCAAATATTGGCTTGCAAACTGTCCTCCGCCCAGATCCGCCTATGCTGGTACACCCGCTTTATCCTCAACAAGGTCAATCGGGCCCTGGAGGACGCATTGAGGTTGCAAGGCCCAATGGTTCCGGCTTCAACGTGCAACTCCGTTCGCACAGAAGGCTACAGCCTGTACTGGAAAGTGGCGGGGCTGACGCCGAATCCGGTCTTCAAAGTCTTCGGCAAAACACCGCAAGTCCAACAACCGTGGATATGGGCGAGTGACGTTTGACGTATCGAAGGTCATCTGCAATATTGGCGCGAGCTCACAGAATGGATCCAGACGACCAACCACCACCCCGCAGACGGAGCCCACATGTGTCTTTTGCTCTGAACCCAGAGACTCCAATATCCCTGAATTAAGGAATATACCTTCTATCAGATTAAGGATCCTACTATAATTTAAGGTATATTCCGTAATTAAGGGATATTGGAGTCTCTGAGAAGGGGAGTCTGAGCCAGAGAGTCCGCAAGGCACCGGGTGGAACCGCTGGCGCTCAGGCCGAGAAGCCGGAGCCGAGGAGGAGTCCACCACTGCCACTTAGGTTGGGTTTAGGGTTTAGGGTTTAGGGTTTAAGGTTTAGGGTTTAGGGTTTAGGGTTTAGGGTTTAAGGTTTAGGATTTAGGGTTTAGGGTTTAGCGGGTTCTGGGCAACGAGTCAAATCACACAGCCCATCCAAGCACACAAAACTCCCTTCAAAAACCCAAACTGAAGCTCCCTTTGCACATCCGTAACGTTTTTATCCAGCCGTGAATATTGGGAAGCCGGCAGTATACCACGAAGCCACGAGCTCTAAACCCTGCACCCGAAACTCTAAGATTCCAAGACCCCGAACGGACAAAACGACAATCGCACAGTCCGCCCGCGAAGACTATTGGAGGTGCGCCCATACTTCGCGCTGCAGAGCTTAATGTAGGGTTCAGGTTTAGGGTCAATCAGGGTCTATGGCTCGGGGTTTGGGGCTTCGGGTGTAGGAATGTACGATCCGATTGGAAGAAGTGTCTTACCGGCGATGGACAAAATCCCTCATGAAAGAACATATCCCGAAACGATAACTTCTGAACCTTGGAATATATATATATATATATTAACACGGTATTTACGATACAAAACGAGGGTCGGTAGTTCATGGAGGGGGGTTACCATATATATATATATATAGATATAGAGATTGGTTATATATATATGTATGAAACACATGTACAATGTACACCCTTTCTGGCTTTGCTCGTGTCTCGCTCTCTGTCTCTGTCTCTCTCTCTGTCTCTCGTTGTGTCTTGTTTTTGTGGCTTGGTGCGAGTCCGGCTAAGCAGGGTTGCAGATTCAAGGTAGTGGGTGAAGGTTTGGGGCATGAAGCCTTAAACTCTAAAGGCCAGAAGCCTAAACCGTATGGTCGCGGCTTTACCATTCGAAGCTTACGTTTATGGCTTTCGGCTTTCAGCCTTAGTGCATAAGGTTCCGGGTGCAGGACACAGTGTATATCTAAGGACTTTAGGAGGGACCCTTTTTAGGGACCCGTAATCCCATTACCGTAAATAACCATTGTATAGTCCTTACATACCCCTTATATAGCCAGGTAGTCTCCATATTAACCTCAAAAACCTACAAGGGTCCCTATTAAGGGTCCCTCCTGAAGCCCTTAGAGTATAGGGTTCCTGAATAAGGGATCCGTAGTACTACCAGGAATTCGGTAACTCGCTCATGAGCATACTGCATACTTCCTGCGCCCTGGGTGGACAGCACGACATGATGGATGCAATGGGATGTGCTGCGACTGAAGATGATGAAGCTTTCATGCCGGCTTCGGAAGTGAAGGATATCCGTGTTTACGGCTACCGGGTGACACAGCCAATGACCCTGCTCGGTGCCCAGGAGTACGGAGCTTTGGTGGGCACTCACCTGAAATTTAGCAGTTTAGGTAGGGTCCGACCAGTCTGTTAATGACAAGGTGTGTTGCTTTAGAAACCCTGCTTTGGTGGCTTCGTGGTTCAAGTGCCGCGAAACCCTAAAGTTCCTTGTTACAATTATAGTACAGTATACCCCAAAACCTTATTCTAATTATGAAGGCTTCTATATTGCACCAAACTTGTATTCCAATGACTGGTAGCCAAGGACCCTGCTCCTGGGATGCAGGTGAGGCAGCTGTCCAAGATTAGGGTTTAAGGTTTAGGGTTTAGGGTCTTAGGGTTTTAGGGTTTTAGGCAGGGTTTTAGGGTTTTAGGGTTTTAGGGTTTAGGGTTTAGGGTTTACGGTTGCCTAGTATGGAGTTCCATACACGGTTCTGACGGCACGGATGCCGTATTCCTGTGAGCATGTCGCGACTCGCTCGAGGCAGCGAGAGCCTTACAGAAGCCCCCAAAACAATGGCCGAACCATCTAAGTTAACGTCCGGAAAGCACCCTTTTAGGCCTGAAAAACGGCTTGCAGAAGCTGAGTAAGCGTTACGAAACCCCAAGAAGTTTCTCCGACAGGCAGCACGAAAAGCAGTGCGCCAAACAATTTGTCCACTGCCTGGCTGCTGTCTCAGTATGTGGTTGAGGGTTCTTGGTCGTTGTGTTAACGGCATTTCAGTGGTGCCTGGGCTGTAAGAGTTTACGGGCTTGCATTTTTTCGAAGGTTTCTATTCAAGCCCTTCAGGGCTCTAGGATATTATTTGCTTGTTGAGTTCTTCGTGTGGTTTAGAGGTTTTACCGAAACCCTAAACCCTAAACCCTAAACAGGGTCTGTTAGCAGATCCCAGACATGACGACGCGGGTGCAGAGACCCGCTGGAGCCTGGGGTTGACTGTTTGCATGGTTCCTCTCCGGGTTCACGGTTTAGGGTTTTTAGGGTTTAGGGTTTAGGGTTTAGGGTTTAGGGTTTAGGTTTTTAGGGTTTTTAGGGTTTAGGGTTTAGGGTCTAGGGTTTAGGGCTTAGGGTTTGGTAGTATTAGGGAGACCCCTTAAAGGTGACCCTTCTTAACCCTACCTATGGCTCTCTAAACAGGGACCGTATTGCGAGGGTCCCCCTAATCCGAAGTCCTATCCTCTGGCACCAGCAAGAAGCGCTGATGTTTGCTGGAGCTGAGTGCTACGAGCTGGATTTTGTGACAATCCATCAATGATGCTATGCAATACCTGATCCGGCGACAAGTTGTAGGCGGTTCGTGCTTGCTGGAGTTGAGTGCTGCGAGCTGCGGCTTGGATCGTTTACAAGGCACCGCGATGGCAGCTGTGCTATCGTGGCATGCCTGATCCGGCAAGACGTGTTTGTGCCGTTCGTACTCCTACTTGGCGATGATGGTCTAACCACTACGCAGTGGGTTCATTAGCCTTGAATACAATAACTAACTTGTATTTTGGGACATTTTTCATTTTCCCTGTTTGGGTTTATAAGGGACCCTTAATATTAATGTTTTTCAGAGGACTTAAAGGCCAACCCAGATAAACCCTTCACTCTAACTAAACCATGGCTTAAAAGCATCCGGTGGTAGGTGTTTATGTTTAAAGCTTTGTCCCCAAGCGGCTGCTCCGTGCAGCCTATAGAACTTTCTCGGCCCAATGCAATTCGAAAGCGTATGTCAGCTTAGCAGCCCTATCCTTATGTTAATCCTTATAGTAACCCTACAGAACCCTAAACCCTAAACCGAAACCCTAAACCCGAAGTCTTGCAGTAAGCCCAATAGCACTCCTAAGAACAACTCTCGCCTACACCCCCCAAAACGCAAAACTTGAGCCTCTGAACTTCCAAGGCTTTAGGCCAGGGTCCTTAACACCACACCCTCATCATAAGATATAACATAATATAACAAACATAATGTTGTAAAGTCTCATATAAGGGAATCTAATATAGTATAGTAATACAATATAATATAATAAACCCTAAGCCCTTTCACTCGAAAACAACGAGCAGAGGTTCAGAACGCTCGCAATCTTCACACGGGGCGGGCCCACCACGCCTGCTCGGTGGGGGGCCCAAGGGCTTGCTATTGAGGGTTATATTAGTTACCTATATTATTTTTGGGGTTCCTTTTTATGATTATAGTATAGTGGGCCCCAAAACCCTACTCTAATTATTAGGGCCCCTACTTTGTTCTAATTTTAGAGAGTTTCTGGAGTTTGGAAATCCTATACCCGAGAGCACTACAGGCTTAAATCCCCAAAATCCTTCCACAAGGTTTAGTTGCCTTGAGGGCTCGAGAAGCGGCTTGTTGGTTCGAGACACGCTTTTGCTGTAATGTAGGGGCCTTAATGATTGCCTACACTACTTTGGGGGTTCCTTATTATGATTATCGTACAATGGGCCCCAAAACCCTGTTCCCATTATTTAAGGGCCCTACATTACGGGGTTTGAGAGTCTCTTGTGCCAGGTTTTTGAAAGGTACCTTAAACCCTAAACCAAACCCTAAACCCTAAACCCTAAACAAGGGTCGGGGGCATTGGGGGTTGAGCCCTCGGCCTTTTGGGCCCTCTGCTTCAAGATTCGGGATCGGGGCGTAGAGTTGAGGATTTGGGATTTAGGGTTTAGGGGTT